GTGTGTCTGTGTGTGTGTGTGGTTAGAGGTGGTGCAGCGGTTAGCACTGCGCTACGAACCCGGTGACACGAGTTCGAATCCCGCTCACGGCCAACACCGGTGACGATTATCTGAACCGGTCCTGGGCCTCCCCTAGGTCGACTCAGCCTCAAATGAGTACCTAGTGCGATGAGTGAACATCGCCACTGGGGAGACAAAGGCGGCCGGGCGTGGTGTTGGCCACCCACCCCCTCGTGTGCCGTGCCGGCTTTTATAGGTGCTCGCTAACAGCACTTGCCCCTACAGTCTGTTAAGGCTATATGGGGGATCTTTGTATTTGTCTGTGTATGTGTGATGAGCAGTGGTGCAGCTGTTAGCGCTACGCTGCGCTACGAACCCAGCGACCCGAGTTCGATTCCCGCTCACGGCCAACACCGGTGACGATTATCTGAATCGGTCCTGGGCCTCTCCTAGGTCGACTCAGCCTCAAATGAGTAGCCCAGTGCGGTGAGTAGTAAACATCGCCACTGCGGGAGACGAAAACGGCCGGACGTGGTGTTGGACACCCACCCACCCCCTCGTGTGCCGTGCCGGCCTTCATAGGTTCTGCTGCTACTCGCAAAACAGCACTTGCCCCAGCAGTCTGCTGATGTCTTTACGGGGGATCTTTGTCTTTATTGGCCGGTAATGTAAACGGTCACAGCGGATAATCAGCGCCCATTTAGCGAGATAAAGGTTAATGCAGACATCGCTGGGAGTCAATTACCGCAGAACGCCACGGCAAACACGGAGCAGCTCGTATCTCTACAACCCACGCCGCGCGTGGTAGTGTGTGTGTATGTGTACCACGTCACGTGTTAGTGTGTAGGTGTGTGTGTATGTACCACGTCACGTGGTAGTGTGTAGGTGTGTGTGTGTGCCACGCCGCGTGTTAGTGTGTAGGTGTGTGTGTGTGTACCACGTCACGTGGTAGTGTGTCGGTGTGTGTGTGCCGCGCCGCGTGTTAGTGTGTAGGTGTGTGTGTGCGTGTGTGTGCGTGTGTGCGTGTGTGTGCGTGTGCTATTCTCTGCTAAGCAGTTTTTCGTGCGGAGCGGTGGCGCAGCGGTTAGGGCGCCTGACTGCGAACCCGGCGCCCCGAGTTCGATTATATCTGAACCGGTCCTGGGCTTCCCCTAAGTCGATTCATCCTAAAAAAATCGCCACTGTAGGTGCTTCTCGCGAACAAGCACTTGCCCCCAGCAGTATGTAAAGCCTATACGGGTCATCTTTGTCTTTGACCGAGGACAAATCCTCTTTGCAATTTTCATCCCGTCACCTCCCCCCCACTCCCAAGCTATTATAATAACACAACAGGAATATCTTGATTTGAAGCTTTCGTGACTGCAGGAATTCACATTCTTTGGGTCTTTCGGTAAAGCCACGTAGATAGAAAAAAAAATACAAATATCACGACGTTTCGATCGCAACACAAGCAATCGTCATCAGGTGAAAAAACACATAAATAGCGCTATCTAACGTGGCTTTACCGAAAGACCCAAATAATATGAATAACATTGCTCAATTGAAACAAAAAAAGTGCTAACTAATCTCGATCACCGCCAACTTTGACAATCTTGCCGTTGCGCGTTTTGCTGGCCCCCGTTCCCACCCCACCACCCTTTTCGCGTCGCGGCGTCTGATGCCCTCTGCTCATCGAGACGAACACCGCGAATGGACACGGGCGAGATGCCCCCCGAAGAGGGCGCCTTGGAGGGAGGAGATTCGTGTAGCCGAGCGGAGCCTCACTGACGAGACGTTGACCTGAACGAGGGCGCGGGGGGGGGGATGGCTTTTCTGTTGTTGTTGTTGTTGTTTTAATCAGGTTGTGTTTGACTAGCTGCCTGGAGAGGAGACGGTTCGGCAAAGAGGCGGTGGAAACACGAACTGAAAAGTGCGTGCGGCAAAACTGATGAATGAGAGGGAGAGGCATGCTTAACAACTTACATTGAGAGACAGAATGGGGGGAACACACACACACACGGACATACGCCGCTTACGGATGATTAATGAGATTTACATTTTTATTCATTGTGATAATTAAATATGTAAACGTGCGCTGCGGTTTTGATGTAACACGTTTAAAACGCGTGGAGTCTACGCCAGTCTTCAGTCGACTGGGTGAAACGTGGGGCCAGGTTTTTGCTCGCTTCTGGCCAACTGGCCCTACAATACTTAATACTGGAAGTGAGAATGAATGAAACGGTGAATCGGAGGGGAGCGACTGCCGATGGGCAACCATCATTGCGGAGTGAAAACGCGTCCGAGAGAGACAGAGAGAGAAAAGAGAGAGTACGTACACCGAGGAAATGGAGCGATGATTTGAAGCTCGCTTGTGCATGCTAGGTGGATTGGTAAGTTATATTGTGAGGAAGCGGTGGTGTAGCGGTGGACGCTACGCTGCGCTATGAACCGAGCAGAGACCAAATTTTATTCCCGCTCACGGCCAAACACCCAGCGACGATTATCTGAACCTGTCCTGGGCCTCCCTTAGTTAGACTCAGCCTCAAATTAGTATCTGGTGCTGTGTGTCAACATAACGACTGGGGAGACAAAGGCGGTCGGGCGTGGTGCTGGCCACCCACTCCGTCGTGTGCCATTCCTGTCTTCATAGGTGCTCGCGAACTGCCCTTGCCCCTAACAGTCTGTTAAGGCTATACGGGGGGATCTTTGACTTTGTCTGAAGTTATATTACACGGCAGGCAACGGATTGGTGAGGCGTTCACCCAGCAGTGGATTGGCCGTGGCTGATGATTTCTCATTGGAAATGCATGCCCGTTTAACACGGTGTACATTATCTATCTTATAAAATAAAGATAAAGATCCCCTGTATAACCTTAACAGACTGTAGGGGCAAATGCCAGCTAGCGAGCACCTATGAAGGCCGGAACGGCACACGAGGGGGTGGGTGGCCAGCACCACGCCCGGCCGCCTTTGTCTCCCCAGTGGCGATGCTCACGACACACCGCACCAGGTACTCATTTGAGGCTTAGTCGACCTAGGGCAGGCCCAGGACCGGTTCAGATAATTGTCACCGGTGTTGGCCGTGAGCGGGAATCGAACCCGGGATTCCCAAGTTTATAGCGCAGCGTGCTAACCGCTACACCACCGCCCCCCCCCACACACGCACGTGTATAGATAGACCCTTTTGTAAATATACTGCTTGTGTAGTGTGTGGGTTCGGGGTGTTGATTTTACCATACTTCTAGATTTGAAGCTTTCGTGACTGCAAGGATTCATACTCTTAGGTTTTTTTCGGTAAAGTCACGGAGGTAAAAATAATAATAAATGAAAATAAATCAATTAAATCACGACGTTTCGGAGGCAACACAAGCTTCCGAAAAAACCTAAGAGTATTAACCATACTTCACCACGCCAGTCAGTGCGGCGAGCGGAGACTCGGTTGGCAGATAAACTCGGCACTGCCCCCCCCCTTCTTTCCCACCCACCACCCTCGTAAAACGCGTTCGCCCGCACCACGCGAGCCACCTCAAGTCGAGCCATCGACGGTGGCCCACGCTGTTGGCGAGGAGAAGGCCCCCCTCACTGGACCACTCGAGACTCGTTTTCGAGAGAGTCCTGCCGAGTTTGTCGCAGACACTTTCGATGCTGCCGCTGCTGCTGCTGCAGCTGCGTGGGCGATCCCCAAAATCGAGTAGCCCTTGAAGATAATTCTTGGAGCATTTGGGAATGTTTCGGCCAACAATAACCGGTTGAAATGCATTGTTCATTTTGTTGTTGTTGTTTAGCTGTGGGAGGAGGAGGAGGAAATCGGAGAACCCGGAGGAAATCCATGCGGTACAAAGGGAGATATCACGCTGATTTGCACGCAGAAAGGCGCCCGGATTGGGGAATCGAACCCAGACTCTTCTTGCTGCGAGGCTCACGTGTCACCATCGCGCTGCCGCTACCCGCTGCTGCCCTGAACCATCCGTAGCAGCTCAAACTCCTGCTCAAGCCATCGGCCGATGAAGACCGCAACATCATCATCAGCACCAACAACATCATCAACACCACCAACAACATCAACACCACCAACAACAACATCATCAACACCACCAACAACAACATCATCAACACCACCACCAACAACAACATCAACAACACCACTGCCAACAACATCAACACCACCAACAACATCATCAACACCACCAACAACATCACTGCCACCACCGCCAACAACTCAACACCACCAATACCACTACAACCGCCATTCGACACTAATTGACGGTGACGTCACCCCGGCTGCCTGTGCCATGCCAGGTGCACTTTGAGGCCACGTGAAGACTTCACGTGGCCTCCAGATGTGTACTGAACTCCGCGACTGGGGCACCAATTAATCCGAAATCGGTGCTACTCCGCGATGTCGAAACGCCAAACATCAGCATACAAAAATCCTGATGTGAAGCTTTCGTGACTGCAGGAATCCATACTCTTTGGTTCTTTCGGTAAAGTCACGTAGATAGAAAAATAAAATAAATGTGATATTATTTTTTATTACATTTTTCTACCTACGTGACTTTACCGAAATAACCATAAAGTCTATTTAAAAATACGCTATCGAAATATTCAACTCTGAATAGTGCATCGCGTTCAGCTCGTCGAGATGAGTCGATTGCCGCATCACCGACCATCGACAGACTAAAAATGATTGCATCACGGACATTATGCAAGAGCCGGGGTACTCTGGTCACCCCGGGGTACTGCCATAAGATTCAAGTGTCGAAGGCTCGCTGACAGGAGGAGGTCACGGGACAGACCCGGCAAGTGCCATGGGTTGGCTGACTGAGATGACCGGTAGATGCACCACCAGATGTATCCCCCCACTGTGCCGCCACCACCACCACCAACAACATCAAAACATCAACAAAAACATCACCATCAACAACAACACCACCAACATCATCACCAACACCACCACCACCAACAACATCAACAACACCGCCACCACCAAGAAGATGAGAAGGAGGAGGAGGTCCACCCACCTTCCGTGTGCACGGCCGACACGTAGGTCCAATTGTACTTCCTCACTATGTCCAGCATGGCCTTGGCCTGCAGCGTGTCCGAGGGCACCACCCTCATGAAGTACTTGTAGTGGGACTTGTCGCTCAGGTCCTTGCTGGTGGCCGAGTAGGCGATCTGCGGGATGTTGAAGAGCTGCAGGAGGTTCTGCACCTGGATGGCCATGGAGCTGGAGCCGGGCCCGATGAGACCAACTATGGGCCTCTTCAAACTTGGCGGCGCTGCGATGCAGCGAGCGGCTGCTGCGGCGGCGGTGGCGGTGACGGGACCGCTCAGACGGGCTCCCCCGTGGCTCGCGTGTCCGTCACCGTCTCCTCCGCCCGAGGTGAGCGAGTCCCTGATGAACTCGATGCTCTGCTCGAGCGCCACGGCCGAGTGCCAGCACGAGTCCCTGATCTCGCAGCCGAGTGTGATGCCGGGCAGCAGCGCGGGGTCGGCGTTGATGCGCTCCAGGGTGTGGAACATCGCCTCCACCCGCTGGATGCCGTACTGCTCGCGGATCTCGCCGCACTTGCGCTCCGACACCTTGTCGGCGGGGGGTTGGTGGTGCACCGAGAAGAGGGCGCCGATGATGATGTCGCCGTCCTTGCGGGCGACCACGCGGCGAGCCGGCGAAGCGTGGGCGCCGAAGGGACCCAGAAGCCACCGGCGGTAGTCCACGTGTCCTCCTGCTGCTGCTGCTTCATCATCACCACCACCGCCGTCGCCGCCGTCATCATCGTAATCACCGTCGCCTCCTCCTCCTCGTCCACCCCCTCGTCGTCCGTCACGCATGTCGCGGCGGATGAGGAGGACGGTCGTCCCGAGCCACAGCGCGAGGAAGAGAGAGGAGGCGGGCGACAGCGCGCGCATCTTAATCCGAGTGCGGAGCGCGCGGCGCGCGCAGAGGAGCGGCGGCGAGAGACGCAGCGGAGCCGGGCGCGGTAATGTCACGGACGGGAGGAGGAGGTGGGGGGGGTGGGTTGGTGGGGGTTGGGAACGGGGGGGGGGGGGCCGCGAGCGACCTTCACCGGAGACGAGAGGCTGCGTGGAGCGCGCAGAGACGCGCGCGAGTGTTTACCCTCCCAGAGAGAGAGAGGAGAGAGAGAGACCGTGTTCGCTCTCTCTCTCTCTCTTCCCAGAGAGAGAGAGGGCGATACGCGTGTTGTCTCCTCATCTCCCACTCTCTCTCCCTCCCAAAGACGCGTCTTCGTCCTCCCACGCTCTGTCGTGATGTGTGCTACTGTGTGTGGGTGTGTGCGCGCGATTGTGTGTGTGTGTCTGTGTAGAGCGGTTGTGTAGTGGTTATAGCGCCCTGCATTACAAACCTGGCGAGCCGAGTTCAATTCCCGCTCACGGCCAACACCTGTGACGATTATCTGGGCCTCCCTTAGGTCGACTCTGCCTCAAATGAGTAGCTGGTGCGGTGTGTAAGCATCGCCACTAGGGAGACAAAGGCGGCCGGCCGTGGCGTTGGCCACCCACCACCTGGCATGCCGTCCCTCCGCCCCCCTCTCCCGCCCCCCTCCACTCAGCCCCCCTCCGCCCCTCCCCCTCTCCCCTCTTCCCTCCGCCCCCCCCCCTCTCCCCTTCCCTCCGCCCCCCCCTCTCCCCTCCGCCCCTCCCCTCTCTCCTCCGCCCCCCCCCCTCTCCCCTCCGCCCCCCCCTCTCCCCTCCGCCTCCCCCCCTCTCCCCTCCGCCTCCCCCCCTCCCCTCCGCCCCCCCCTCTCCCCTCCGCCTCTCCCCTCCGCCCCCCCTCTCCCTTCCGCCCCCCCCTCTCCCCTCCGCCTCCCCCCCTCTCCCCTCCGCCTCTCCCCTCCGCCCCCCCCTCTCCCCTCCGCCTCCCCCCCTCTCCCCTCCGCCTCCCCCCCCTCCCCTCCGCCTCCCCCTTCTCCCCTCCGCCTCCCCTCCGCCCCCCCTCTCCTCTCCGCCCCCCCTCTCCCCCCCCTCCGCCCCCCCTCTCCCCCCCCCTCCCCTCCGCACGAACACCCCTCCCCCGCTCCTCCTCCACCCCGGCCCCTCCGCCCCTCCCCTCGCCCCCAAACTCCTGGAGAGAATATCCCAGAATGTCTATCCTCTCTCGATACATCCTCCCGCCTTTAACTTGCAGAGAGACCAAGAGAAGATCCAGAATGACTCACCCCTCTCCTCCCTACGTCCTCCCGCCTTGAACTTGCAGAGAGACCAAGAGAAGATCCAGATTGACTCTCCCCTCTCCTTACCTCCTCCCACCTTTAACTTGAAGCGAAGGGGGTCATTTGAGCGGTCCGCGCCTATCTGATGAGGCAATTGCGAGCGCTGTTACGCAATCAATGCGTGTTTGCGTTTAATTAGCGGTGCCATTAGGTATCGGTGGCCACGAGAAGCCTCTCAACCGAGTGTGCGTGTGTGTCTACGTGTCTGTGCGTGCCAACAGTGTGTGTGTGTCTGTGCGTGTGTGTGTGCGTGCATATGCGTGTCTGTGAGTGCCTGTACGTGTGTGTGTGTGCGTGCGTGTCTGTGCGTGCGCGTGTGTGCGTGCGTCTGCGTGTCTGTGCGTCGGTGCGGAGTGGTGGCGTAGCGGTTAGCACTCCGCGATAGAACCTGACCACCCAAGTTCCATTTCCGCTCAAGGCCAAAACCAGTGACGATTATATGAACCGGTCTCGGGCCTCCCCTAGGTCGACCCAGCCTCAAATGAGTACCTGGTGCTGCGTTTAAACATCGCCACTGGGGAGACAAAGGCGGTCGGGCGTGGTGCTGACTACCCTCCCCCTCGCGTGACGTGCCAGCCTTTATCGGTGCTCGCTAATAGCACTTGCCTCTCCAGTCTGTTGAAGGCTATGCGGGGGTTCTTTGTCTTTGTTGTGTGTTCGTAGCCTCCTCTGCGGTGGCTTTGTTCGAGTGACACGGTTATCGATCAGCGCGAGCGCGAGAAAGCGATGCGGGGAATTACAATGGGTCACTCTGATAGTCACTCCTGAGTCACTCCTGAGTCACCCATTAGAGTCACCTCTCATATGAAGATTCTCGTCCCACCTCGCACTCCTTCACCAGCTCATCCCAAGCAGCATTCCGCGAGGGGTGCAACTTTAAAACGATTAATCGGATAACGTAATCGATTAAATACGCTCAATATAAATGTTACCTGTACGAACAAGGCAGAGTGAGACACAGCACAGGCGAGACAGAGACAAGATGAACGAGACAGAGTGAGACGCAGCACAGGAGAGACAGAGAGAACAAGACAACACGGGGTGGAGAGGACATCGGGCACCTGGGCTGAGTGTGGTGTGAGTGTTTTGGGGGTGTGAGTGGGGTGTGAGTGTGGTGTGAGTGTGGTGTGAGTGTTTTGGGGGTGTGAGTGGGGTGTGAGTGTGGTGTGAGTGTGGTGTGAGTGTGGTGTGAGTGTTTTGGGGGTGTGAGTTGGGGTGTGGTTGGGGGTGTGAGTGTTTTGGGGGTGTGAGTGGGGTTTGAGTGTGGTGTGAGTGTGGTGTGAGTGTTTTGGGGGTGTGAGTTGGGGTGTGGTTGGGGGTGTGAGTGTGTTGGGGGTGTGAGGGGGGTGTGGTGTGGGTGTGTTGGGGGTGTGAGGGGGGTGTGAGTGTGAGTGGGGTGTGAGTGTGTTGGGGGTGTGAGGGGGGTGTGGTGTGGGTGTGTTGGGGGTGTGAGGGGGTGTGAGTGTGAGTGGGGTGTGGGTGTGTTGGGGGTGTGAGGGGGGTGTGAGTGTGAGTGGGGTGTGAGTGTGAGTGTGGTGTGAGTGTGTTGGGGGTGTGAGGGGGGTGTGAGTGTGTTGGGGGTGTGAGGGGGGTGTGAGTGTGAGTGGGGTGTGAGTGTGAGTGTGGTGTGAGTGTGTTGGGGGTGTGAGGGGGGTGTGGGTGTGTTGGGGGTGTGAGTGGGGTGTGAGTGTGAGTGGGGTGTGAGTGTGAGTGTGGTGTGAGTGTGTTGGGGGTGTGAGGGGGGTGTGGTGTGGGTGTGTTGGGGGTGTGAGTGGGGTGTGAGTGTGAGTGTGGTGTGAGTGTGAGTGTGGTGTGAGTGTGCTTGGGGGTGTGAGGGGGGTGTGGTGTGGGTGTGTTGGGGGTGTGAGTGGGGTGTGAGTGTGAGTGGGGTGTGAGTGTGAGTGGGGTGTGAGTGTGTTGGGGGTGTGAGGGGGGTGTGAGTGGGAGTGTGAGTGGGGGTGTGGGTGTGTTGGGGGTGTGAGGGGGGTGTGAGTGTGTTGGAGGTGTGAGTGTGTTGGGGGTGTGAGTGGGGTGTGAGTGTGAGTGGGGTGTGAGGGGGGTGTGGTGTGGGTGTGTTGGGGGTGTGAGTGGGGTGTGAGTGTGTTGGGGGTGTGAGGGGGGTGTGAGTGTGGTGTGGGTGTGAGTGTGGTGTGAGTGTGGTGTGAGTGTGAGTGGGGTGTGAGTGTGAGTGTGGTGTGAGTGTGTTGGGGGTGTGAGGGGGGTGTGAGTGTGAGTGGGGGTGTGAGTGTGAGTGGGGGTGGGGGTGGGGGTGTGGGTGGGGGTGGGGGTGTGAGTGTGGTGGGGGTGTGAGTGTGATGGGGGTGTTAGTGTGGTGGGGGTGTGAGTGTGGTGGGGGTGATAGTGTGGTGGGGTGTGGGTGTGAGTGGGGGTGTGAGTGTGAGTGGGGTGTGAGTGGGGGTGGGGGTGTGGGTGGGGGGTGGGGGTGTGGGTGTGAGTGGGGTGTGAGTGTGTTGGGGGTGTGAGGGGGGTGTGAGTGTGAGTGGGGGTGTGGGTGGGGGTGTGAGTGGGGTGTGAGTGTGGTGGGGTGTGGGTGGGGGTGGGGGTGTGAGTGTGGTGGGGGTGTGAGTGTGGTGGGGGTGTGAGTGGGGGTGTGAGTGTGGTGGGGGTGTGAGTGTGGTGGGGGTGTGAGTGTGGTGGGGGTGTGAGTGGGGTGTGAGTGTGGGTGGGGGTGTGGTGGGGTGTGAGTGTGGTGGGGTGTGAGTGGGGTGTGAGTGTGGTGGGGGTGTGAGTGTGGTGGGGGTGTGAGTGGGGGTGTGAGTGTGGTGGGGGTGTGAGTGTGGTGGGGTGTGAGTGTGGTGGGGGTGTGAGTGGGGTGTGAGTGTGGGTGGGGGTGTGGTGGGGTGTGAGTGTGGTGGGGGTGTGAGTGGGGTGTGAGTGTGGTGGGGGTGTGAGTGGAGGTGTGAGTGTGGGTGGGGGTGTGGTGGGTGTGAGTGTGGGTGGGGTGTGAGTGGGGGTGTGAGTGTGGTGGGGGTGTGAGTGTGGGTGGGGGTGTGGTGGGGTGTGAGTGTGGGTGGGGGTGTGAGTGGGGGTGTGAGTGTGAGTGGGGGTGAGTGTGGGTGGGGGTTTGAGTGGGGGTGTGAGTGTGAGTGTGGGTGTGAGTGTGGTGGGGGTGTGAGTGTGAGTGGGGGTGTGAGTGTGGTGGGGGTGTGAGTGTGGTGGGGGTGTTAGTGTGGGTGGGGGTGTGGTGGGGTGTGAGTGTGGGTGGGGGTGTGAGTGGGGGTGTGAGTGTGGTGGGGGTGTGAGTGTGGGTGGGGGTTGTGGTGGGGTGTGAGTGTGGGTGGGGGTGTGAGTGGGGGGTGTGAGTGTGAGTGGGGGTGAGTGTGGGTGGGGGTGTGAGTGGGGGTGTGAGTGTGAGTGTGGGTGTGAGTGTGGTGGGGGTGTGAGTGTGAGTGGGGGTGTGAGTGTGGTGGGGGTGTGAGTGTGGTGGGGGTGTGAGTGTTGGTGGGGTGTGGTGGGGTGTGAGTGTGGGTGGGGGTGTGAGTGGGGGTGTGAGTGTGGTGGGGTGTGAGTGTGGGTGGGGTGTGGTGGGGTGTGAGTGTGGGTGGGGGTGTGAGTGGGGGTCTGTGAGTGTGAGTGGGGAGTGTGAGTGTGGGTGGGGGTGTTGAGTGGGGTGTGAGTTGAGTGTGGGTGTGAGTGTGGTGGGGGTTGTGAGTGTGA